CCCCCGCCCCCCGCAGTCCTAGCACAATGTCTGGCATATAGTAGGAACTCAATAAAAGGCTTTTGGAATGAACGAGAACATGCACGGCTGTACACTAGAGGTTATGCAGATTGTGCACAAACTCACTACCCTTGTATGTGATTTTCTGATATAAAACATCTCCATCTTTGGTAGTAACACTTGTATTCAAGTTCATGGAAAGAGAGTCATTTTCTTCTTCTGCAATTCAAATATGCTAAGTCAGAAACAAACATATCTTGAGTGGGAACAGAAGCATCTTTATGAAACATGAGAACTCTAACAAGCAATTCTACTTTAAAAAACACAAAATGGTAATGCATAATTGCAAAGGTATTGCTTTATTGTCCTTGCCTCTAGGCAGAATCTTGCCTCTGTGACCCAGTGGGATTCAGTTCCTGGATGTTTATCATTATTTAGCATTTAATATAAATCTTTCTCAACTACTAGATCAATAGGTAAATGGTATGAAAGTTCTTAAAAACACTTTGATGTTGAGACAAGCTGGGATGCTGAAAGCAGAGAGTACCAAATTACATGAGAATTCCTACAGAGTGAACTTGTGGACACAGGAGTTTGGGACTATGATTTTGGTCAGAGTAAACCAAAGATGGTCCAGGATACGACTGAAATAATCATGGTGGGGTATTTGGCCACAAAAAGACAAATAAATAAATTGTGCTATGAGTTCTTTATAGTACATTACAATCAGGAGTCATTTATAAATTCTTTATTGATATTAAAAATGGATGATTGGAAATAATTTTAAGATAGTGTACTTAGTAACAGACTTCTGAGATGGTGGAAGTAATAATCCTGAGTATTTATAAAATGACTATCTAATATTATATATGCATAGTTCCACGACATGTTATAACACATGATAATTTATTAGAGAGAAGGCATTTTTTTAAAAAAAAAAATCAATTTTATATAAATGCTTCCTGACTCTAAAGTGCTGGCAACTTTTGCCTTAAGGGGAACTCAATTTCCTCCTCTTTACCCAGTAATTTTTGAGAGACCTCAATTATAAACCCAAATTTTGTTCAGGGAAAATGTGATCTGACCACACCTGAAAAAAGAAAATGCACAGTGAAAAATATTATTCTTTCTCTACTGGTATAAGTTGCCCATAAGTCATTCAGCCAATATTATTTGGATTGGTTTAACATATATCATTCACAGAGACCAAGTGTTTGGTCATGTTAGTCAATGTTTGGAAATTCTGAAGCTGCAGGTATGTTTCCTAGATAATCTGGGTCATATTGTAGCAAGGGAAGATATGCCATCATTTTTAAAATACTCATGTCAGGTGACTAATTACATTTTGCTTTTTTTGCTCTCAGATTCCTCCTTTTTGGATTGTGGACTTTTCTCATTCATTGTTAAACTTGTGGAATCTTCCTTGACTGAAGCTGAATCCACAGAAGCTGTTCTTTTCGTAAATGCTGGCAAGATAAGAGGAAAGACAAAAGTAAATATAGGTGAATATATACCCTGGGCTGAAAAAAAAATTTATGTGAACGTGAAAAAGAAAAATTTTGCATAAGATAATTAATTAAGGTATTTGATCTAGTTTTCTGTAATCAAACTACTTGGACTAGCAGACCTTCAATGCAGGAATGAACAAACTCAGTGTATTATACCGTCAAAAACACATATTCAGGTGATTAAAAGAATTTTTGTGAAGCGTCTCTGAGAGTTGAAGATCTGTGCTTAGTACAAAGTGATAGCTAGTGCATACATGCACACATTCAGGATGTCAGAGGGAGAGATCTTACGGGCCTCCTGTCTACAGAATGTTCTTTGTTATACAAAAGGAAACTGGGACTCCATCTGGAATTCAGGTGTACTGTTTTTTCTATTATCTTTTACTTCTCTTCTGAACCCAGATGCCTATATCCAACTGCCTACGTGAAATCTTCCCTCCTGATTTTCAGTCTTCGAAGTTTGCCCATCCCTTAGGCTTCTCCGTCTGCCGAGTTTCTCATACCTTGGATCCTCTCCTCCTTCACCCTCCTTACTCCACCCATCCAATTTAAGAGTAAGTTCTGATGATTCCACCTCGCAAACTCACCTGAGGCCTCTGCTACTTACCATCTCCATTACCCTCATCCCAGCCCAAGCCATCATTTTCTCTCTTCCTGTTTTCATTCTTGACCCCTTATGATCCCTTCTCCACCTTACTGCCAGAATTCTCTTTCTAAAGGTAAATTAGATTATGCCACTCTCTACCCCTCTGATTATGCCCACCCCTGTACCCCATGGCCTCCCAGTGAACTTAGAATAAAATCCAAACATCTTCTACGGCTGTAAAGGCCCCACTCAAATCTCACCTCCCACTACTCACCCCTCACTCACTCACTGGGTGTTTGTCTCTCCAGCAGACCAAGCTCTTTTCCTCTCTGGGGCCGTTGTACTTACCGCTCCCTCTAGCCTAACAGGAAGACTCTTCCCCCACACTTTTAACTTGGCAGGTTCTCCTTGCCATTCAGGTTTCAGCTCAATTGTAACCTCCCCTGATGACCAATTTACAGTAGCAGCCCTGTTCCAGGTACCCTCTATCATTTCACCTTTACAGCACCTATCATCAACTTATTTTATTTATTGGTTTACTTGCTTACTACCCATTTCCTCCATGAGTACAGGTGGCCTTGTTTGTCTTGTTCACTACTGCAACCCCAGAACCGAAACCAGAGCCTAGTACATAGACTCTCAATAAATATTGGTTGAACAAATGAATATATTTAAGAGATTTTTAAGAGGTAGTCAATTGGGAATTTTCTAGCTGCTTTCTAGACAGTATCTAGAGAGTGCTGTCTTATCAAATTGCAATAAACAGAACTCAATTATTTTTAAATATCTGGCACTTAATTGGCCATTTAAAAATTCCTGAAACATTATAACATAAAATGAGCCTATAAAATGATAGAGACAGAAAGATTGTGCTTTCATGGAATAAATAAATCCTTTAACAGACAAGAAGCAACTTTCTTACCTTATCAGCACTCCCAATGTTTTAATTGCCATAAATCTTTGGCATCTTATCCTACAAGTTTGAGGACAGACTATATATGAATGTCTACTCACAGTTAGCTGGAAGGACCTTGACGTATGACACAGAACAGAAAATAGTGTGCTATTCTTGCTATGGATAAATTATTTTTCATCCAAGGAACTTAAACTCCCACTAAAGTCACCTCAAAACACAAATTGAGAACACTAACTTTTCTTTTTATAGCAATATAAACTGAGGTAAGGAAGTGAAATAAAGTCGTTTTAGCGACTTTACATTGATTCGTTTTCCTGAAACGATTGAGTTATATTAATATGTAAGATTCACTTGCCAAATTCCTACAGTAATTGTCAGATAACATTTTTTTCCTCCATGAAAAATCATAGTACCTTTTTCTGGGATAGCTAAAATTAAAAAAAATAAAATAAACTTTAATTTTTAAAACAGTTTTAAATTTACAGAAAAAATTGCAATTTGTGTTTATTTTTAAATTTAGAGACACTGACTTCACAAACATTAAGCATTTTAGTCTCCAAGGACTCAAGATTTCGAGAAGTCATCAGATTACAACAGACTTCACTCAAGTCCAGTCTGGTCCAGGCCCATGAGTGAAGGCCCTGTCCTGGAGATGTGTTCCTTTAGCCTAAAAGAAGCTATACAGGGAGACTAGTGGTCAGTCACTACTTATAAAAAGTAAAAATGACAGTTTCAAAAGCTGACATTATGAGTCTCTCTTACTAAGCCCCCACTGTCTACAGGCCGAAGGTAATGGAATCCAAGTCTTCTAAAAGGGTGTCCTGAATTGCAGCCATAATTTCCAGCCAGCCAGGATAAATTTGGTACTGATCATGGCTCTAAATAATGGATTTTTGTGTTCCTATTTCCAATGTAATATAAACTTACAATTTATACATTTCTTCCCTTCTTCCTGGCAGAAGGAATCTACCTTTTCTTGAATTGACCTGAACTATACAAACCTCTCATACATTACTACTTAAAACAAATGTTCATTAATGCTGGATCATTTCAAAGACCACAAATTTTGCAGTATTTTCCCATTTCGTTTGTTTTTTCCACGGTCAGTGATTCTACGTTTTAGTTTGGTCACAGTTTAACAGGGCAACTAAGTCAGCAGAACAAAGGCCTGGGCGTCTATAGCTTGGACAAAAGGGCCTCATCCAGTTCAAACTATGACTTGAGTAGGAAGGTGCTTGTTCGGCGGGCTCAGAAACTTATGTCTGCCTAAGGACCTACAGTTCTCTCCTCTATAAGTCACCATGAACCATACACGTCTAAACCTCTCTAAACTCTATATCCCAGCTTTCCTGTCCCGCTAAGAAGATAACAAAAAAATTGAAAATTTGCTACTCAGACATAAAAGCTGGGGTTTTATTAGTAGAACTTATCTCTTAAAAGAATCATTTTTAGCCAAAGTATAGCAAAAGGTTATTTAGAAAAACAGAACTCTCTTGCTCCATGCCCCCCAATCCCACAGTCCTGCTCCCGAGTCGACCACGATCAACTTCTTAACTATGTTTTCTCTATTTACTCCAGTGTTTCTTTTAAAAAATGCTTATATTGCTATTTTTCTGATTTATCAAGTTTTAGACATTATCCACACCCACTCATTTCTCCTCACCCCATCCTCCCAGTATAGTTACAGCTGAACTTTTAGTTATGTCAAGAGGGAGTGTTTCTATTATTATGACTATGTAAACAAATAGGGCACACATAAACCTAATAAGTATACTACGGCAATGCTTCCTCTCTTTTTTTTGCCCCCTGGGGTTTTTAACTGACCCATGTTTTTGTTTTCTTTTTTTTTTCTGTGCCCATCCTTAATTGTTTCTTATTGCTTAATCAGATCTGACATATATCTATGGTACTTTTTTCTAAGTACTCAAATGTATTAGATAATCTATCAGTGTTCCACCCTCCACCCCCCACCCCCAAAGATTGACTGGAAAATTTAGCCAAATTTCCTGATGGAATCTTTCCTTTCTTCCTTCAATATGGGAGAACTGAAGCATAAGCATGTACAGATTAAAAGGGACCAACCAACGTGCAGCAAGAAAAATCTGAAGCTGATCATCACAAAAATCACTGGGATTAAAGAGAAGGTCCTAAAAGTTTCAAGAGAGAAGGAAAGGGGACAGAATCACTTCAAAGGAGTCAGAATCAAAAATGATATACGGCTTTTTAATAGCAACAACAGATTTTGGAAGACAACTGTAAGGTGGCCTCAGAAGGTGTCATAGATTGAATTGTGTCCCTCAAAAATATGTGTCAACTTGGTTAGGCCATGATTCCCAGTATTGTATGGTTGTCTTCCATTTTGTGATTTTCCTATGTGTTATAAATTATAATCTCTGCCTGTGGTTAAAGAGGATTAGTGTGGGATGTAACACCCTTGCTCAGGTCACATCTCTGATCCAATGTAAAGGGAGTTTCCCTGGGATGTGGCCTGCATCACCTTTTATCTTACAAGAGATAAAAGGAAAGGGAAGCAAGCAGAGAATTGGGGACTTTATACCACCAAGAAAGCAGTGTCAGGAGCAGACTGCATCCTTTGGACCCAGGGTTCCTGTATGGAGAAGCTCCTAGTCCAGGGGAAGATTGATGACAAGGACCTTCCTCCAGAGCTGACAGAGAGAGAAAGCCTTCTCCTAGAGCTGACGCCCTGAATTTGGACTTATAGCCTATTAGACTGTGAGAAAATAAATTTCTCTTTGTTAAAGCCAACCACTTGTAGTATTTCTGTTATAGCAGCACTAGATGACTAAGACAGAAGGAAAACCATTTTCAGTCTAAACTTCTGTAGCCAAACTCTGAATTACATGTGGGTAGAAAAAATCCATTTCTAGAAATACAAAAACTGAAAACATTTACCTCCCTTTCTTTGATGTGTTCTCACAAAAGAAAGGAATTAAACAGGAAAGAGGAAGACTTGAAATCTGGGAAACAAGGAAACCAATATAGGGAGACAGTGAAGAAAAATCTCGGATGACAGCTGTGTAGCATGTCCTTGTTGGCAGGGTCCTTTTAATCTGGACACTTCTGGCCTTCTGTTCTAGTTTTCTTTGTTCTCTCATCCCAAGACTCTTATTAATCAGGTATTGCTTTTCATGAATTGATCTGCTAAATATCTTATTTTTTCTCTTTTATTGTTCAATTATTTTTTCTTTTTCTACTACTTTCATGGTGATTTCCTCAACTTTGTTTCCCACTCTTTTTTTTTTTTTCTCTTTATGGCAATTATATTTTAAATTTCTGAAACCTCTTATTCCCTGTTCCTTTTTCATAGCACCTTGCGCTTATGTAATGGAGGTAATATTTTATCTAAGGGCATTAATGGTAATTTTTTAAAGTTTTCTTTTGCTTCTTATATTTAGGGAACATTTACTGTAGGTTCCATTCTTCTTTTGTTGGTCTTGTCATCTCTCTTTTTTTAATTTTGGAGGTTTAAAGAGAAACTAAAATGAAATTACAGAACAATTTATACAACTAAGTTGAAATTGCTTGTACTGAAAAAATGGAGACATATTCAGGGTGATCCTAACTTTTCCCACTTCTAATATAACACATTATGAAAAAGGTACAGAAAATTCAAGGTTTGCCAGAAAACGAAATTGGAATAAATATGATTTCAAGAAAGAGTTTAATTAAATCACCTAAAAATGATTAGTGATAAGGTATCTATGAGAATAAATTTAAAAAATTATCCTTGTAAACATGGCAGTACAAGTGAGAGGGAAATCATAAAACAAATTTGTAAAAGAAGAATAGTAAATCATAAGGCTATGAATTAGGCTGCTTCCTTGAATTAATCAAGAGTTATAATTTTATGCTAAATTTTCCAGTCAGATTTTACAATATAAACTGTAATAAGTATTTTCTTATCTAAATTGTGTCCTCACATATTTTTTTCCTATTCTTCTTTAACTTTATTTCCTTTTGAACCAGTGAATTTATATAGAAAACTTACAGCTGCCTATGAGGAATAGATTTTAATTAGAGAATGACCACAGCTGGTCACAAAATGCTACTGAATGAAAAGCTGAATACAGTTTCTTTCACTGCCTACCACAGTATTAAATAAAATTAAAAAAATCTTAACATTTTCCCTCTCATGTCTTCTGACCCCCCTCTTCTAGGTGCCTTTCTAGGGAGCCTTATGAAAGTCATATTGGCAACAGTAAATAGTCATAGACCTCCATGCTGAGATCCTGGTGCTATTTGTCTTCAGGTCTCCAAACATTCTGGTGTTTGACAGCGCTAAGTTCTCCTCTGCCCCACCCTCATGTTTAAGTAGATGCGCATGTTTACCAGACCTGGGGATATTTTTTCATTGCTTAATATGAAAGATAAAAATGTGGCCTATGTGTATATCAGATTTTAAGGTCCCATAAGCAACTTCAGATATGATTCATACTGAAGAGCAGCTGCCAGATTAGAATAGCAGAGGGTTTATGCAGCTACAAAATCACTGGGAAAATGATTAGGACAGGAAAGAGAAAATGCTTAGCTTTTGGAGTAAAATAATCATGATAAAATAAAAATCAAACTGTCAAAAACTGATAAATATTTATTGAATGAATCCATGAATATAAATCAGCAAAAATGAAAGTTATCACTTTTGGATTTGACCTACTTCTTGAGGCTTATTTTGTTATTTTATTTAATAGCAACCCAGCTATTTTAAATGGTAGAATTATCAAATTTAACGTACAACCCTCCAGGCCCATGATCAATGAAAGAGAGAATAATCTAAATAAGAATCCATTTGAGCCTCACATGTTTGGATAAAACTGGATTTTGAAAGAAAGAAAAAAGAATTCGTACACACATTCATCTAACATTAATTGAACACTTACTACGTGCCATATAGTATCAGCTTACTGAGGAAACAGTGGTGAACAACCTAAACATTGTTCCTATTCTCATTGAGTTTGGTCTTTGGTAGAGAAAAGAATCAAAATCATCCCAATAACAAATAACTCCATAATTATCATAATGAGAAGGCTTTTAAAGGAAAATTATAACTCATAACAGAGGCTCCACTTAAAACGCTAAGTTCCGAAAGTTTCCTAGAGGATGCTACATATGAGCTGGAACTTGAAGAATGAGTACAGCAGGGGGCAGGGTGATGGTGGAGGGAGTGATGGTAGGAGATGGCATCCTGCATGAATGGACTCATACCTTGTTGATGTTTCTGAAGATATTTTATCAACATTTACTGAGTACTCAGAGTGAAATCTAGCAAATAATGATATCAGTATCCTTATGGCTGCCTATTTTTTGCACACGATTCCTGAACAGATCTTGCAAATATTTTCCACTTTTTGATGATTTGGATTTTGTTATGATAATACTTAACTTCCTTTATCCATTCATCCAGAGTTACCAGTTATCACCAAAGAAACAAAAAAAATGTTTAATTAAGATTTTTGTTTGGGGTGATTTATTGTAAGCTCTCCTGAGACAATAAAGTCTAAAAAGAAAGAATTCCATGCATTTTTTTAGTAAACTGTGCATTATTATAAATGCAATTGGAGGCATTATTTATGTGATTCACATTCACAAACTCATGACATGAATATACTATCATGTACTGACCTTATACATAACTCTTTCCATGAGTTGCCTTTTCTTAAATTCAATTAAAAAAACTGGTATAGGGCTTCATTACTTACAGTTGAAGTGTGAAAATCGTGGACTAGACAGGAGGCTACTGTGGTCCTGCCAAGAGGATGAGTGATCTAACCCATGAACATGGGAACCTTCATCCTAAGGGAGAGAGCGCAGCATTTCAGTTCAATAGTTGAAAAATGTAAGGACCAGGATTCATTTAAATGTACTGAAACTGAATGTTAATATACAAGCTATGTTGTACATGAACAACTTAATATAAATATAACCCTTGTAAAAATAAAATATGTGCATGTTAAAGAAAATATGCAAAAAGAAAAAGGAAATCACCCATGGCCACAGCAGCATGACACATCTCTTTCCAGTCTTTCTTTTCTATGGCTATTAAAACATAGTTCTAAAACTTTGTGTTCTTTATTTATTTATGTTAATAAGTATTTTAAAGGTCATTTTATTATCCTAACCTTTAGTTTAAGCATTACACATATACTATCTAGTGGATATACTATGCTTTACTCAGCCATTACCTTACCGGACATAAAGGTGGTTTCTGGTATTTTGTTGCTATAAATAACTGAAAGAAATATCTTTAAAAATAAAACCTTTTCCATATTTAGGACTATTCCTTATGACAAATCTCTGTAAGTGGATATACTGGGTCTGTAAAAATGATGTTTTTTTTTTAACACATTTAGCTAGACTGCTTTCCATAATGATTATGCTAATCCTCTTACTCATTCAACAAATATTTAACACATAAACAAAAATGAACATGGAAAAAGTCCCTCTCCTCGTGGATTGTATGAACTGTTCTTTTCTCCAAGTCTTAGCTGAAAATGGGAACTAAAACTTTAAATACTTTTACTAATTAAATAGATTAAAAATAGGTACTTTAATATACTTTGATAAACAGTAAAATTGTGATTTTTTTCCTAATGACTGTTTTCTAATTATATACTACACTTCTTTCTTTCTTTCACTCAGTCATTCATTCAACAATAATTTGTTGGGCATCTATTATGTGCCAGGCAAAGAACAAACAAGATACTGGGGTAATGATGATGAACACAACCCTGTTGTCATGAAACCTTTGGGACTGCAGGAGAGAAAGGCAATAAGCAAATAAACGACACAAAACACAATTAAAAACTATGATAAGTGCTCTAAAGGAGAACAGGAAATAACAGGAAAAATCAAATTTAGATTTGGGGTCCAGAGAAGGCCTCTCTGGTAGGTGATATTTAAGCCAAGATTTGAACGCTGAGTATGAATCAACAAACCAGTCAGCCAAAAACTTACAAAGGGTGGAGTTTTACGGAGGAGGGCGGGGGTGAGGGAGTGATGTTCCAAACTCCTGTGCATGTGCTGAGGTGAGAGAGAGTTTGGTGTGTTTGAAGAACTGAAGGTTTCAGGACTTAGGCACACTGACCCTGGGGGAAGTGGATACAATGAGGTCAACAGGTGGACAGAGGCCATGTGTAGGATTTAGAATTTTTTCCATAAGTAAACCAGAAAGCAATCAAGAGTTTTAAGAAGAATGACATGCTTTAATTTATATTTGTCAAAGATCACTCCGGCCTCTGTTCGGAGAACAGAATGGAGGGGAGCAAGTGTCAAGGTGGAAATACCAGTTAAAAGACCGTAATTGAGGATGAATGTAGGCTCATGGGAGAGGAAGACATCAAGAATGTCCAAAGATTCTAAATGAAACAACTGTAAGTGAGGTGGCACAAAACAGATTCCTCAAAACTTGACACCACATGCAATACAATCTCAGGTAACACGGCTATCTGATGAATTAGTGGTTATTCTCTGTAAGCACCAAATGTATATTTTATTTCTTTTTCACATATGAATGGATACAAATGCAAAAGAAAGGCCAAAGATAAAGAGTATATATATTTATAGAAGGCTGATTTATTATGAGCTAAACACATGAACATAATCATCAGATGATTCAAGATAATTAGCCTTTATGTACCAAAGGGGAATGAAGGTCTATTTAAATGAAGGCCCTAAAGTTTTTAACCAAGTGATTTTTAGTTCTCACTAACTATTGAAATTTCATAAGAAACTGAAAGTCATTTACTATAGCATCGCTGGAAAGGACAGGATATACATTGTGTCCTGAGAGTATTTAAGGAGCAGTCTTAGATGAGTTGACCTGGGTGACTAGAGGCAAGTGAGCTAGCTATTGTAGTTCAGATGTGAAATACTAAAGGTCTGGGAGGAGTTTAGAAGATGTGCAAATGGAAAGGAGGGTTATGATCTAAACCAGTGCTAGTAACCTCCACGTAACCATGGTTTTGATGCGAAACATGAAAGAAAAAAAGCATAAGGTGAGGTTTTGATCTAAATGATGCTTTGATGATCATGAGAAAGGAAAAAAATAAGGGAAAGCAAACACACTCAGATATCGTTCAGTGATTCCTAGACAGACAATGAGAGACAATGAGAGGACAGGTATAGAGATGCAGGTTTGGACATCTTGCTGGAACAGATGTGTAATGACAGTCACAAAATGTGCCTAACTAGAGGAAGGATGAAAGATATTCAAATTCTACTCATTTTTCCTAAAAGGCATGGTTTTAAATTTCTAAAACGAAATTGACTCTTTCATTCCTAATACTGGCCAGTTGTATCTTCTTTTTTTTTCTTTCTGATCAGTTTGGCTAGAAGTTTTTAATTTTCATTGATCTTTTAAAAGTACCCAGTTTGGGTTTCATTGGTTTTCTCTATTTTTCTGCTATTTCATTGATTTCTTCTCTATTATGTCCCTTCCTTTTGCCTAATTTGGTTTTAATGTGCTCTTCATTTTCTAGTTTCTTAAAGGTAGAAGCTGGGCTTATTGATTTGGGACCTTCTTTTTGTAATATAAGCATTTATTATAAATTTACCTCTAAGTACTATTTTAGCTGAATCTCACAAATTTTGATAAGTGTGCTTTTATTTTCATATAGTTAAAATTTTCCTTTGGATTTCTTCTTTGGCCCACGGGCTATTTAGAAGTATGTTATTTAACTTCCAAATACTTGGGGATTTTCCAGCTATCTTTCTGTTATTGATTTCTAGTTTAATTTTGTTGTAGTTAGACAACAGACTTTGTATCCTTCTAAATTTGTTGATATTTATTTTATGGTCCAGAATATGGTCCATCTTGGTGAATGTTCAATCCGTACTTGAAAAATGAGTTTAACTGACTGTTATTGGGTAGAAAAACAAAACAAAACAAAAAAAAAACAAACCTATTGGCATCGAGTCAATTCTAACTCATAGCGACTATACGACAGAGGAGAACTGCCCCATAGGGTTTCCAAGGAATGGCTGGTGGATTTGAACTGCCAGCCTTTTGGTTAGCAGCTGAGCTAGTTGGTTGATAGTGTTGTTCAAATCTTCTATATCTTTACTGATTTTAAGCCTACTATTTATCAATTGTAGTGGGAGCCCTAAAGGCACAGTGGTTAAGCGTTCAGCTGTTAACCAAAAGGTTGACAGTTCGAATCCACCAGTTGCTCCTTGGAAACCCTATGGGGCAGTTCTACTCTGTCTTATTGGGTTGCTATGAGTTGGAATTGACTCAAGGGCAACGAGTTTGGTTTTGGAAATCCTGGTATCATAGTGGTTAAGAGCTATGGCTGCTAATCAAAAGGTTGGCAGTTTGAATCCACGAGGCGCTCCCTGGAAACCCTATGGGGCAGTTCTACTCTGTACTACAGGGTCGCTATGAGTTGGCATCGACTAGACAGCAATGGGTTTGTTTGTTTTTTAGGGTTTTTGATTTATCAATTACTGATAGAGGAATGTTGAAATATCAAACCATAATTAAGGATTTGCCCATTCTCAAACTTATGTCACTTTTGCTTCATGTATTTTTATACTCCATTAATAGGTATATACACATTTAGGAGGGCTATTCCTTTACAATTGCTGATTTATTCATCATTCAACCACTCACATTTCTTTTTTTCATTATGGATTATAAACCAGTTTAACTCTAATATGTCTTCAAGTTCTAACATTCTGTCTTCAAAAGACTGTCATAATCTACCATATTTAAGTTGAAGTATAACTAGTGAAATGAGCCCAAAAAGAACACTCTACAAGAAAATTATTTTACATTCCCTTTGAATAATCAAGATACTTAGCAGAATATGAAAAAAATGCCTTCATGTCCTCCAATTATATATTGATACTTAATCTGTGGAATTTCTATATAAGTAAATTCACAAGTTGACTATAAGATGAATGTTTCTTCCTAAGTCCTACCTTTCTTTTAAAAAAATACTTAAGTTTTAAAAAGGAACTGCTTGTTAAAAAGCAAGATTCTTTGCAATTTTAACAATCCCAGCTTTTGCTTTTTACCAATTCTTATATCCTTAGCACAAGGACCTATTTTTATTGCTGTCATAACTCTTAATAAACTAGCTAACCAGAATTCCCTGCAAAAATTCCACTGGGTGAAGGGACTTGCATTTTCTAATATTTTCCCTGGGCTTCTTCCACTTCTCTTTCATAACCCACATTGTAATTGGTTTCTTAAAAGCTGTTCCAACCTGACTAAATCTCTTTGCTAAACTGATCTCTAATGATGAATATTTAACGATGCCCACCAAGTATTTTTCTCTCAGGAATATTATAAGTTCAAAGTTTATAGGACAAATGATACATTTGATTTTTTTAAAAATTTTAATTCATCCAACGCTTCCCCTGGAGAGAAGGAAAAAACACATGTATTTCTAAAACTGCGGCAGAAAGGTTTTCCTGAATTTGCCTCTAACTTAACAATTTACCATCCCTCCACCTTACCCCCTCTTAATTCTCAATCCCCCACCAGTGCTCAAGAAAGCTTAACCGCTTCCTTAGTAAACTTTACTCCTATTTAAAAGTTCAATCTGGGCAGATAGCTTACTTAACCCCTGCCCTCTATATTTCAATCTGCAGGATGCTATGTTAGATTTTAACCTCCATGTGAGTGGGGGTTTGATTGTCTCCAGTTCTCTATCCTTCCATTTATTCATCCAAATATTCTACTATTTAGCACAGTGCCACCTTCAGTAAGGAACTCAATAATGGTCATGCATGATTATTTCTGGACCAAAATACAGAAATGAAAGTTCTCCATGGTGGAAATCAGGAGA